AGCAGAGTTTAGGGGATGCCTTTGTCAATCCTTTCAGCATGCCTTCACTTCAATTTCATCTGAAGTAACCCAAATAATTTAGTCTTAATTACATTCCTTCAGTTGGAGGCTCTTGTGCTTAGCCTTTTTCATCCAATTTGAAAGCATTTTTCTTTCTATCATTACATTAGTTGCAGCCTTTGTTCTTTTCTATACTGAATGCACAATATACTTCTTCACTTTTTGCAGCAATCATCATCTTAGATGCATTTCCCCCCATCTACAGCCTCTTTCACTTCATCATTCTACCAAGCATCCTTTTTCATATTTCCCATATAACTCCCCAGATTTCTGTAGCACTTTGTAACACAATTCTTTTCACTGTGATTCAAGCAACTTTATATCGTCTTTCCTTTCAGCCACTTTCCATTAATTCTTTTGTGAAATTAATGTATTTTAATACCTTTTTCATATAGGACTCATATTTTTTCTTTTTTGCTGCCAATGTTGTTTCATTCTTTATTGTATTTTGCTAACGCTACTAAACAATGGTCCATCCCTCATTCAGAACGTCTTATTACTCTTACTCATATATCCACTAGTTTTCTCAATCTTTCATCATAAACAATCCAGTCAGCTGTGCTTTTAGACTTTCATTCCTGTCCTGTCTGTACACATGAATAAATTTATGCTTAAACCGTATGTTTGAAACAAGCAGACCTTTTTCTAAGATTTTCATTAGGCAATCGTTCTCATTCATTTCTGGATATTTGAATGAGAACATGCTGCATTTTCCCCCAATACCTTGCTGGTGCATTTACTATTAATCTTCAGTGGAGCAATAGCCAACCAATGGATTCCTACTTTCACATAAATTTACAGCAAAGTGACATCGGAAAAAAAAAATCAGGTCCAGTCATGTGATGCCTTGACCTTTAACCTCAATAACTTGCAACCTTAATTATGGGCTCAATTATGGTTGTAAGTTGAGGACTACTTTTATGGTTTTGGTGAGTCAAGGCTTTCACATAATAATTTCTAATAAGATTGAGAAGATATTGTATAGGTTGGTGGGTTTTGTGCCACATGTAGCATCTCTTCTAATGCTAAAGACGGTGTTGTTCAATTTTGACACAGGTTGTTCATTTTGCCACTGAAGTCCAGTGTTAGTTCTTATATCATCATCATCATCATCATCATCATCATCATCATCATCATCATCATCATCATCATCATTTTTAGTGATTGGCATTGTTATAGTAGCCAGGAGACCACAGTGTTATTACAGAGTAATAGTTTGGCTTGCAAAGGTACCATCCCTGTTACAGGAAATGCTTGTGCGCTTCCCAAGGTGCACCACAGGAGGGTGAGCTGGCTTCGCACTAGAGAGAAAGTCGAGTGGCTCTTCCTGCAGTGTCACCCAAAGCCCCCTCGCTTCTTGGAACTGCCTCGCAAGCGGGCATTGCAATCAGGAAAGTTCAGAGCCATCAGGAATCTGACTGCCTGCACAGAGCACAGCTTGTTTTCCCATTGAAGTGGTACCTTTTTTATCTACTCACATAGAATGTGCTGTGGAATTGCAAGGTGGGCAGAAGCTGAGGCAACTGATGAGAGCTCATTCATGCAGAGCTAGGACTTGAACCGACAGAACTAAAACCCTCTTCAACATCATTAAGCCACTGAGCCACCACGCCTCCTTCTTACATGCTCATAGTATTCTATTAAACACAACATCTTTAACATAGACCAGTTTACTTCAGTCTAGTATGTCCTTCACTTTTTCCTTTGTTTACAAATGTACATACCGTACCTCAGCATATAGTTTAGCCCAGGGGTGTCAAACTCAATTTCATTGAGGGTCGCATCAGCATTGCGGTTGCCCTCGGGGAGCCAGATGGGTGTGGCCTACTGGGTGGGCGTGGCCAGCTCTACATCGTTCGCGTCAAGGGTGCCTGTGGGGGCCTGGGCAGGAGTGGGACAGATCTGAGGGTCTCTGGCAGAAGGGGGTGGGACCGGGGCAAGCGCCAAGGCACGTTGCATTTCTTCATTCCTCACAAAGGGTGACACCTCCCCAGCATGCACCCAGGGGCGGGGCCAACACGGCAGGGGCTGGTTCCATTCTGTTTTCAGACGGCCTTGTGGAGCTAAGACTGAATGCGTTTCAGTGTAGATGGCCACCACAAAATTGTACATTAGCTCCCGGCCGGCCTGGGCCAGGGCCAAGGCAGAGGGGGCTGTTCCCTCACTGTTTCCAGGATGGCTTTGTGGGCCACATGAAACCACTTCGCGGGCCGCATCTGGCCCCCGGGCATTGTGTTTGACATGTCTGGTTTAGCCAATTAGGCAGAAAGGCAGATTTCAATATCTTCTACTTTGGTAGAATGAATATATACTTATATGCATACATATATAGTTATTTTTAGTTTATTAATATCTGAAGGGTTAGCAGATAATTTTATGGACTCTACAGTACATGGCATACTATTTAATCAGTAGCTGAGTGAGAAACTTATTTGACCAAACCTTGGTAAGTTCTCCTACTGTAGTATTTTGTTCATTGGGACCTATCCCAAAGATTCCCTACTTGTTTGCTTTCTTGAAGACCTGAAATTATATCTGGATTTCATAGGGTTCAATCCTTGGCTTATATTTTTAGAGTTCCTTGGATATCACTTGGCGATACTACTTTAATATATTTTGGGTGTGCCTGGGATTTGCCTTGGAACTAGGCAGTGTGTTTTTGCCTAAGGCCTCTACGCTGTTACTCTGTTCTTAAGAAGGTTTTCGTCAGTTACGATTTAAAGAAGATTAAGGTAGAAGTATGTTTTGAACTCTTAAGAAAACTGGACAAGTAGTAGCAGGTGTTTTTGTATGTGAATGGTCTCATGAGGCATTACGATCATCAGACCAAGCAGGAGAGAAACTTAAATAATCTCTTCTGGTCCTGAGTTTAGAAAGAGGTATCAGTATTCTGTTTTTCCTGATACAACAACTCATCTAGAAACAGAACTAGAAGAGCATCGAATAAATGCTTCACATTTTTCTAGTGTCTCTTTGCAGAAAATTAGTAATATGCATATTTAAATATAGTGTATTTTTGATCTGCATTCAATTTTAGAAACCTATTACCTCTACCTGTGTGAACATGTAAACACAGTGTGTCCCACCTCATGTATGATATTCTTCAAGGCCTCTCTTCATGGTCATGTTTGTACCCTCTGATTAGCAATGCCGATAGTTATGTTATGTATTTGTTTCTTTTTGTCAAATGTTATCCTTAACACAAGTCCAGAACTGTGAATAATTATTTTTAACCACATTTTATGCACCTACCATTTGCTGGATCTTTTGCAGCAAATCCTTTATGAATCAGATTACTCCCCCCCCACCCTCTTGTAGTGTAGGGTTTCAGTTTTTAGCTGGTCTTGACTAATAGTCCCAAAACAATGTGCAGAGGTAGAGGCATGCATGAAGAATAAAAAGATTGTGTGAATTTAATATACACCTTAAAAAAGAAATATCTTTGTCTCATTTCCTTCCCCTGGTCTTTTATCTTTACGGTCAATAATCAATCTGTAGTATCTATATCTGGCATGATTATATGTAGCAGAATTACTCTGCTCCCAAAGGATTCCTATAAACTAGGATTCCTATAAACATTCAAATGTGTGTTTGTGTCAGTTGATCATTCTAATACATAAAACACTATAAATCTTTTAAATTGAGAAAATAATAGTTATCTTCAATATTGTTTTATAGAGTGAGCCATCAGAAATAGTCTATGTTGAGAATCTGCTCAAAACTTTCATAGGAAAAGCTCAACTACTTATATCTGAATAGCCTTGTTATTACAAAATTAGTGTCTACATATTATGAAAAAGATGTTTAGATTATTTTGAGGGATCATACCTTTTAATAAAACACAGAGAATTTACTCTCTTCCCATGGTGATGACATAATCACATTCAGTATTCGCAAGACAGAGATGCTTAGTTGTACTTTATTGCCACATGTCAACATGATTGTGATGAGGTATAATTATTTTCATTGTTGACTGAAACACAATTCCAATGTTTCTCTCTTTCAAAATTGTCTCTTTTTCAGTATGAAACTTGACCTGCAATCATTGCAGATGCTTCGCTGTGCAGTAGTGGGAAGAGCATCTCATTTTCAATATAGTTCTCAAAACACTCTAAATTTTATGTTTTATACCTGTCTTTTTCCATCTTTCATCCACATTCCCATAGTGAGCAGATTCTGTTTTTGACATGCAGTGGTAGAGTGAGTAATTTTATTTTTAATAAGAAAATTTGGGGGAACTTCCAAATGACATCTGTACAGATATATTTTTAACTGCTCAAGACAGACTTCCGATGACCTTTCTCTTCTGTTCACATACACTTGGTAGGCTGAGTAGTCCTTGGGTACTTTGAAGATTGATACATCCTAGGCTTTGACAGCTGTAGAATTGGGTTGCTCTGCCAATTTCAGACTAGAAGTGCAATTTTATTTCAGATGATATTAGTAGAACCTAAGAACAAGTTTCAAGATTGTGCTATCAAGACTTAATAGTATGGAACATTTTATAAAAAGTTTGTGTGAATTTTTTTTTAAAATCCTTCAGAGCTTCTTAATCAGATGACAATAAATCATATTTTGATAATCAAAATAATATTTAATAGAATATTTATTCTAGCATTTTTGTTTCATTAAAACCCTTTAGATATTGTTCAGTAATTGTTTAGTAATTAATTCTGAAGATGATATTTTCCAACATATATATGTGGATATTAGGAAGTATTAGAACAAGATTCAACCTTGAAACATTCAAATAGTTTTTTTTTTTCATATTTTGAGTAGCTAAGTATCTCAAGAGAAGACAGTTCTATTTACTATTACTACCCCAGCCTTATCACTGACAGAGGCAATCCAGAGATATACAGTATAATCAGTAGTAGTGAATGCCAGCTAAAACTGGTGTGTTGCCATCTTTAATCTTTTTCATGTTTTGTTTTATTAAGGCTGATAAAGAATTTGTATGGTCTTTATGGAAACGTCTCCAGGTTGCAAACCCAGATGTTACTCAAGCAATCAGTTTGGTTGTGGAAAGGTAAGTAGGAGGATTTTTTTTTAACTATGCATTTCATGTTCCACTATATAAGTAAAGAAACTTTTAGCAGTGCTATTCCTGACATTAAGATGTATTCCCCTAAGATATATTCTAGATATCTGGAAATCGAAAGTAGCTAAGTAGAAAGCTATGTTTTCTAATAATTTATTCAAATGGCCAACACATTCTACTTGTTGGAGGATTGCAGTCTAAGCCATCCAGTTTAAAAAATCATAGTAAATTTAGTTCTACGGAAAAAAAACCAAATCTAGTAAGTTTTAGTGTAAATGGAAATAGAGATGTCAGTGTCAGTGAAATGACACTGCTTTCCTGGGTAGACTCCAGTGTTGGCAGAAAATTCTGCTGGTGTAGATTTTTCCTTGGCTATGTTCCACCTGTGAAGTGGAGGTTTATCAGGATTTGGCATAGATATTCATTCAAAGCCACATGGCTTTCTTAATTCAGCCATCCTATAACTCAGGGCTTTTCACCCATTGTACCACTTTTAGGATATGGCAACATCCGAGTACCACCAGTCACCTAGCAAGGTGTCAAAAACTTGATGACCAAAAAAAAATATTAAAAAAGTGATAAAGTACAGGTAGTCCTTGACTTACAACAGTTCGCTTAGTGACTGTTCGAAGTTACAATGGCACTGAAAAAAGTGCCCCCCAAGCCACAGCCGAGCAAGACAGCGCCCGGTGGCGCTCTTCCTCCTGTCCATGGTTTTCATTGTTGTGAGCATTTCTGTTGAGGATTGGCAGTGGGGGTGGGGTGGAGGGTGTTTGGTTTTTATTCCCCCCCGTCTGCTGGGTGGTTGTAGCAGGTTTTGGTCACTTCACATGACCCTGGGACACTGTGACCATCATAAATATGAATCAGTTGCCAAGCATCTGAATGTAAATCACAGGACCCTGGAGATGCTGCAACATTCCAGCTGATCGACGCTTCTTCTGGGCTCAGCAGAAGCGTCAGGATCAGTGCTGCTTTCCAGCTGATTGGTGCTTCTTCAGGGCTCAGCAGAAGCACCAGGATCAGTGCTGAGCTCCAGCTGGAGCCTGGCGCTGATCCTGGCGCTTCCACTGAGCCCTGACAGCCCCAAAGAAGCGCCGATCAGCTGGAAAGCAGCACTGATCCTGGCGCTTCCGCTGAGCCCTGACAGCCCTGCAGCTCCAGCCATCTCTTGCTCAGGCTTGTGCGGTGCTGCTACCGGTTCAGTTCATTCCTCTCCCCCACTACCACTTTTCTAGGATGGTCGCTTACCACCTGCCAGGTGCCAATGTACCACAGGTGGTACCCGTACCTCTGGTTGAAAAGTCCTGCTATAACTGTTCTAACTATGACAATTTCCACTCTGGGACTTGTTGTATCTTATTTCTCCCATGATGAAAAGAAAGAAGAAAGTCTGCCTTCTGTTTTCTCCTCTACCCAGAATTAAATTTTCAAACACTAGATATGGGTAATCATTCTGCAAGAACATCTTCAGGCTTTCTTTCTCTCCCTGCATGTACTTGGGACACAATTGGGACTATATTGTCTTGTTAGTTGATGCATATATGAATTAAAATTATACAAGGTAAGCAATAGTTCTACAAATACCTTTTAAGTTTATTTTTAAACTTATAAATAAATGATACATATCTTTACCCAAATAAACTTTGCTACATCTTGTAGGACAGGCAGATGTAATTGGGGAGAAAGAAATTTCCTCAAGTAACACCCCCCCCCCCCCCGCGTAGAGCTTTAAAGGTCCAAATCATCAGTATAGAAGTATTGAAGCTTGGTCACTGTTACTGTCACAAGGTAGGACTTAATAACATTCTCACTCATGTTTGGTCAACTTCATCTTTTTTTTTTAGAATAATTTTACTAAAATTTTACTTGCAACAATAAAAAAACTAATACAAACTAAAAACCAAAAAAGAAAAAAAAATAGAAGGTGCAGAAAAGAAAGAAAAGAAAAAAAATGGAAAAGAAAAAAAAGATTATAGTAAAGAAAAAAAAGAAATATATAAATATACATTACTTCCCTTCATTTGGAAATGTGAACAATGTGAGCAGACATTTTATCATGCCTAGAGAACCCCTAAAAAAGCTAAATAAGTTGGATTCAGATAGATACTTTGCTACACAGGAGTTTAAAACTTAATATTCAGTTGAAGCCAGAACTTTTCTGTTTAGGATTAATGGATAAACAGTTAATGGCGAAGCAAGTCTGAAGGCTTGAGCAAATTAGAGCAGGTCCTTTCTAAGTTTCTTCACCTGACCATTAAGGTATTGTGGACTCCCCTGTCTCTTGTCTAATCATTTCCTAGTATCATCTCTTCCCTTCTTCTCTCAAGGTTACTCTCACATACTTGAGAATGTATGTAGTAACATTACTATTTTCAACCGATTAATTTTTTTTTTGCTGAGACATCTATATTTTAATAAATGACTTATTCTTTAAGCAGTGCAGATATTTTATGTTATAACTTCCAATATAGCTTTGGGGAGATGGAGGCAGCCATAGATAAGATATTATTTAGTGACAGGAGACTTGGTTCTAGAGCTTATGCACAAGGAGGCATCTGCACATTTAAATCTGATGGCCAGCTTAGACTCAAAATTGTCTGAGACGGAGGAAGCTTCTCAGCATGGTCTGGAGAAATTCCAGCCTCAGGTTGAGCCTACCAATGAGGTACATGAGACTGACATGGCTGAGGTCCATTCGAGCCAGCCGGAGGCAGCACAAGATGAGAGGCTGGATCTAGGAATGTAATGATGTATGGGAATCACGCTGAGGGCTGCTTGATTGATCAGTCTGTTTGAGGTGATAGGGAGATTTGTAGTTTCAGACTTGCAAGTTTCTTTTAAAGTAGCCTTCTACTAAAGTAAAATTAGCTTATCTTGTTAGGTTTCTTGTCTAGTTTACTTGGGAGGGCTGACAGTGAGTTCCTTGTAGCTCTAGAGCACATAGGGCTGAGTACAGAGCAGAATCGGGGAGATTTGAATGGCTTCTTACATGGCAAGGATGTTCTCACCATTGAATGCCTGCATTCGGTGCAAACTGTATTTAAGAGCTCTTGCTGCTGGGTTCAGCTTTTCCATGAATGAACTTAACCATGAATATGTGCACTAATACTTTTTAAAAGTATTTCCTAAACGTAGTTCAGATAAGCCCATCTGGGGGTAAGCAGACCTCATTTTGTTTAAACCAAAATACCATGAAACCTGTGATATCTGTGGGCAGCACATTTTTCATAGTATTTTGGTTAAAAAATTGAGGATCTGCGCAACCTACATTTCCAAACAGTGGCCACCAGTCTCCTATTTGAAAATTGTTAAACAAATCAATTAAAAAATGGGAAACCATTTGGAGTAACCTGATATGTGCTAAAATGTTAAAACGTAGTGTGAATAGGTGGTTGCTTCAATTAGTTTTTTTTTTAAAAAAATCTTAATAACACAGCACAAATGCTCAAGACTGGAATTTTGTCATTGTCTTACTTTCTAGGGAAGGCAACAACATGGATCCCTAAGCTTATTGTCCAATTAATTTCCTAAATGTTCTATATAAAGTACCGTATATGTATGCTTTCTGTTGTATATCTCCTGCCTAGGAGAAATTTCTACTCCAAGCAGGTTTTAGGGAGGTCAGGTGAACAATAGATCAGTGTGCTGTTTTACAGTTTCTAGCATGTTCATACCTGTTCCCTTGACTTTGTCTTTTTTTAAATTTAAATTAGCCTTTGACACTATTCCTAGGGAAAGACTTTAATGGAAGTTGTTTCATTCTTTTTTAGATCAGTCTAATTATGATGTTGCAAAAAAATAATTATACAAGTTAGGTGTGGTAGCAGATATCTCAATCCAGAATGGTTACCACTTTAACCAAGATAAAATCCATCCCCTTAAACTGAATAATAGACAGCTGCCTGGGCTTCTCTATATTGATGTGACATAGCTACTCTCCTTCTAACCTGGATTGGCTTCAGAAGAAATCTACCAGCTCTTATGGATTATTGTAGTGAAAAGAGGCTTACAAATTATGTTGTTTCCCCAAGGATTGAGATACCACCAATATCAATGGAGATAATATCTTAGACTTAAATCTAAGATACTTAGATTTAATCTTCCAAGTATCTTGGTGTAGTATTCCAGTCCTTGGAAATCTGTGGGAACAAATTTAATCTACCGTATTTTTGATAAAGTTAATACCTGCAAAAAGGCCATATTGAGCTTCTTTCAAACCAAAGGTGGCAAGAACTGCTGCATAAAGCTAAATCTTTAAAGCTAAATTCATTTCTAAGATGTTGTTTGATTCCCACATATTGTATTTGGATACAAACATTTAACAAACTTAGATTTCGAAGAGTGCTGTTCAAAGTAGCTTGCTACGGTTGTTTAGAAACCACCTCAAAACAACTTGCGTGGCACACAGATCTAATAAATAATAATAATAAAATAAAATGATCCCCCTCGAATCCAGAATCTGTGTAGGCTGACTATTTCTGGCTCAACTTCCACTTCTCTGGCAATTTCCTTCTCTAGCAGTTGCCACAATTCTTTTTGATAAGTTTTCCTCTTCCTGGAAAACTATAATTCATGGCTTCTCAACTAAAGCCCTCCTAGCTAGGAGGTTAGCCACTAGCAGAGATGAAGTACAGTAGGTCCTTGATATTGGCAAAATATGAATAAGAAATATTTTATGCTAGGAAATGTTGTTTAATACTTGCCTCAACATACTGGAACTTTTTCTTTAGCTTCCTTTAATGTTTTCCCTCTTCAGTTTTGTACCCTTTTTGCAGAATGAACATGCAACTGCATTTCCAAGGAAACCCTAACCCACCTATTTGTCTGATGTCCTTTTTACAGCAACTTGTGCCTACCTTCATAAGTCCTTGCTAATAGCAATTTTGTTTGTTTTGAGAATAACTTAATTTGCTTCCTATTGTGGAGCTAGAACCAGTAATGTCTTCCTCAAGTAACCCCACCCCCACTTCTAGAGGCAATATTTC